TTTCATTGTTTTGAAAATCCCACTCTTCTCCATGCCATCCAGTCATGATCCAGTGATCAGAATGTTCCATTGTCTTTTCATTGTTTTGAAAATCCCACTGTTCTCCATGCCATCCAGTCACGATCCAGTGATCAGAATGTTCCATTGTCTTTTCATTGTTTTGAAAATCTCACTGTTCTCCATGCCATCCAGTCATGATCCAGTGATCAGAATGTTCCATTGTCTTTTCATTGTTTTGAAAATCCCACTGTTCTCCATGCCATTCAGTCATGATCCAGTGATCAGAATGTTCCATTGTCTTTTCATTGTTTTGAAAATCCCACTGTTCTCCATGCCATCCAGTCATGATCCAGTGATCAGAATGTTCCATTGTCTTTTCATTGTTTTGAAAATCCCACTGTTCTCTGTGCCATCCAGTCACTTATTCTTTTGGTATATTTCAATTATCCTCTATTGTACCCAGGCCTCGAGAGTAGACAACACGTACTTGTTCGTCTCTGGAGCTTCCCAGCTCAGTCTGCATGGCAACCTTAGCCAGCTCCAAGGCTTCTTCAACTTTTCTCATTTCCATCAGCATACTGATCTGGAGTGAACAAAAGGACAAAGAAAGATTACTTTTGTTATAAAATCTTTTCTGATAATTCGTCTGATTTTCACGCAAAGATAATCCTTTGCCGAAGTTCGTGCAGCCGGGATCATTAATCTCTAGTCTAAAGGCTAGTTTCCACTCAGGAAAATTATCCGTGGATTGGAACGGACAAGAAAATTTTTCTTTGTCTTGTGAGCTCCGGGTAGGAACTAATGACTTTAACACAAAGAAAAATTTTCTTGTCCGTTCCAATCCACGGATAATTTTCCTGAGTGGAAACTAGCCTTGAATCAGACCATTAAATTTCGAATTTTTTTCACCTGTCTTTTAAAAGGAACCTGGACAAGACAGAACACAGCTCTTGGTGAACACACAAACACTTTGTTTTCAGCATTGCACGTGAGACAACCAGCCTGAAATTTAACGAAAAGACATTTTTACGTCGCCTTACACGCTGTGATCTCGTTTTCATGATTGGAATATGATTCCCTGGCGTATTGTCACTCGTAATTATTCTCATTTTGTGTACGGTGAGGTTGAAGAAGATCGAAGTTCTCATCCAGATTTCAATATTTGTGCTAGTTTTTTCGACAGAATTTCAATACATACCTGGAAAGGTATCACTTGTTTTATAGAATTTTTGTCCGATTCTAGAATACTAAAAATATAAAAAATAAACTTTATATTTAATTTGTGTTTTTTTTTTCAAAAACATGGCAAGTATAGTAACATGAGATCTTTCATACCTACCTATATACGGTAATCGTTCCCCGGCCAACTGCCACTACATACGGGAAAGAATACCCTAGGGTAATGAGACCATCAGTCCAGCTTAGTGGAGGTCTGAGTGACGTGCCCTGTGACGTCACAAACATTCCAAGCGTGTCCGTAGGACCACTGAGAAGAAATTCCTCCTGTAAGAATACAAGCATTGTGAATCCCACTGTTCTCATCCAGTCATGATCCAGAGATCAGAATGTTTCGTTGTCTTTTCATTGTTTTGAAAATCCCACTGTTCTTCATGTCATCCAGTCATGATCCAGTGATCAGAATGTTCCATTGTCTTTTCATTGCTTTGAAAATCCCACTGTTCTCCATGCCATCCAGTCATGATCCAGTGATCAGAATGTTCCATTGTCTTTTCATTGTTTTGAAAATGCCACTGTTCTCCATGCCATCCAGTCACGATCCAGTAATCAGAATGTTCCATTGTCTTTTCATTGTTTTGAAAATCCCACCGTTCTCCATGTCATCCAGTCATGATCCAGTAATCAGAATGTTCCATTGTCTTTTCATTGTTTTGAAAATCCCACCGTTCTCCATGTCATCCAGTCACGATCCAGTAATCAGAATGTTCCATTGTCTTTTCATTGTTTTGAAAATCCCACCGTTCTCTATGTCATCCAGTCACGATCCAGTAATCAGAATGTTCCATTGTCTTTTTATTGTTTTGAAAATCCCACCGTTCTCCATGTCATCCAGTCACGATCCAGTAATCAAAATGTTCCATTGTCTTTTCATTGTTTTGAAAATCCCACTGTTCTCCATGTCATCCAGTCACGATCCAGTAATCAAAATGTTCCATTGTCTTTTCATTGTTTTGAAAATCCCACTGTTCTCCATACCATCCAGTCATGATCCAGTAATCAGAATGTTCCATTGTCTTTTCATTGTTTTGAAAATCCCACCGTTCTCCATGTCATCCAGTCACGATCCAGTAATCAGAATGTTCCATTGTCTTTTCATTGTTTTGAAAATCCCACTGTTCTCCATGCCATCCAGTCATAATCCAGTAATCAGAATGTTCTATTGTCTCTTCATTGTTTTGAAAATTCCACTGCTGTCTATTTCATCCAAATGACTGAATGTTCTCGTGCCAGTTACATATATTGAGTTCAGTTACTAAACCGGCTAATATTTAAAAAATATCCAGTACCTTAGCCATCTTTTCTCCCCTGAAGTACAGCTCGACACTCTGACAGTTTGCGGGATTATACACATCAATATGAGTGCCCTATATATGCAATAAAAACAGTATTTATCCTTTGGTGTAAAATGCTTGGTGTAATACCGAGAGATGATCTATCCTGGACTGACGACGTGGACTACGTGACTTAAGCCTGTTTTCCACTTCAAGCGGTAACGTACCGTAGAATTTTCTTTTGTGTTGCAGTCATTAGTTCTACTCTAGTGCTCAGGAAACAAAGAAATACGCTACGCTTCGGTACGATTGAAGTGGAAAACAGGCTTAAAGCCCCAGTTACCAGATTCGTATCGGAGCGACAACAATTTAAGGTGTTTTCCAGTCTTGTCTGCTATAACAACTTTTCATATTTGAAGCTTTTGTTTTATTATGTTATATTATCATAATTTCAAGTGCCAAATTCACCTCGAAGCAGGAAAATTTGATGTCGCTCCAATGCGAATCCGGTATCGTGTAACTGGAGCCTAAGAAAGCACAATCTCAAACTCATTAATAATTCATGAGTAAATTGGCCAACCATATTACTTTATTTTGCTCACATGATAATACTGAATACCTGATGAAGTATATTGATCTAGCTGTCCTAGGACTGGATCGAAAATAATTAAGTAGTCCAGGTAATCTTGATACGCAGAAAAGTACTGGCACTAGTTGTCAAATAGAAATCCATTTTATGATTAAAACAACTGAATATCTCCTGTAATATACTTTATTTCGATTCCATATTTTTGTCAGAGCTATAGTTCTCATAACCAAACATAATTACAAAATTTCAACTAGTTTCATAAAGAATAACGAAAGATATAATTGACTGAATACATCAAAATGGATTTCTATTCGGCAACCCTCTCTGAGCGCTGATTGGCTAAAATACGAACACGAGATCACCTGGGTGATTTATTCGTGTGAGATGTTATTTCAAATCCTCCAACTCAAGACTCGACTAGATTTCAACTCCTCGCATTTTGATCCAGTGCTCGACTTCGCCTTGGACATGGTCAAATTGCGCAGACTTGAAATCTAGTCCAGTCCTCATAGTCGGATTTGAAATATTACTTCAAGATTCTACGCTTTGCGGCAGTTGAAAAAGGTTTAAGCGATATCGGGTCTCGTATTGAGTACACTTCACAGTGTGCTCAGCAGTAACCAAAAACCAGTCCGACATTATTGAATCGAACCAGAAAAAAGCTTCGCGCATCATTCTTCTTGAAATTTTATACCTCAAATTCAAAGTGTCCAATCAGAAAGCTAAGTTTGTGCCACGTGAGCATTTATCATTATCGTGAGAGTTTATCATTGAATCACGCCTTACGTCATCGTATTTGACGCAGCGCGTGATTTGATCATATCACACGCTATGTTCGCGTAAACCACGCGCGGCAATCACGCAAACAAGATGGATGACAAAATATAGTAAAGAATGATGAATTATTAAGTTTTCAAACTTCAAAGAAAGTTATTTTTTAAATTATGAAGCAAATCTTGAAATGTTATCATCAATATTCCAAACGATATGTGACCCGAAACAAACACTTGCGTTAATAAAAAAATAAAATGAGGCCAAGTTTTTATATTCTCAACTTGGATGCTTTGAATTCTCGGTAGAATATATCATTTATATGCCCTCCGCTCGAGGGATTCGGCGAAATATTACCGTCGTCAGTGACAATATCACATCACTGATGGTAATATTTCGCCAAATCCCCCGTGCGGAAGGTCTATAAATGATAAATGTCGTATCACATTGCATTGGATCATACAAGATTGGAAATGTTTAATAAGCACACGGAGACACAATTACTCAGTAGTTCACAACTATCTCCGAACCAACATCATAGCTCCGAACATCTCAGCGCCAAACCAAATTGTACATTAAAACGAAACAGTCAAAACGTTATAACAGTAAAATAGAACTATTGATGCATATTATAGTTTTTAAAGGACATTGGCAATAAAAATTAGTTAGGTTGATTTGAAAGAACTCTTAAACCTATATATTAAACTCTAGTACAGACTGTTTATATCTTGCTTAATTTTCAAAATATTTCGACGTAACCATTATCATGTAAACACTGCCCATATCCCGCCTGGCAAATGCGTCACAAGATTTAGTAATTCCTTTATTCCATATTGCGCACGTAATGCAACCTTGTAGGTAATTTCAGATCATTAATATTTTAACTAGTTATGAACATACATTTACATTTAGATTTTAGACTTTTTATTAGAGACAACGTCTATTTAAATTATAATATGTAAACATATATAGGTACAAACATATATTTATAAACATATATATTCATATATTTTAAATTCAATAGTAATCCAGTTCACAAGATTGTAAATATTGATTCAATTAAACGTTCTATCTATCTAAGTTACTGTCAAGAGGCAAGAAAAACATACCACAAATATTATAACAAACCATAAAGTTCGATAACACAAAAGTTCTTTCAAACAAATAACAAAGAACTAAAAATACCCGAACATTTTCAATACTCTCCGCCTACAGATAACGATTAAGTTCTTGTCAAGTGACAGGAAAAACACACCACAGCCTACAGGTAATTACATCATATAGACCATATATTCATATTATACTTGGAAATTTTACAGTATAGTTGATTATCTTTCGTGAGTAAATGTGCTTGGGCATATTGTCTATTTAGTTTAAGTTCAGTATCGCTTTGTTGTTTGAGAATAGCAGTTCAATATGTCTTCAATCGTGACGAGTATTCTAAGTTCAACCGTGGGTTTGTTGTGGAACAAGGCTCGCGACTCGACTGCGGCTAAGCTGAAGGACGGCGATGTTACAGAGATTGTCGTACAAGAGTTGAACGACATCAAAACGAAGCTCGATGGTCGTTCACATAAAGATCTTCTCAGCAGCTACAATTTCCTACAGGAAGGTGTGGATTTCCTCAATGTTTCTCTTCAAAACTCAAAGCTCGACCAGAAAGCTTTGACGAATGAAACTCAAGATGATCGAGGCGAGACATCAACAATGCCGAGTTGTGGTCAGTCTGGGATCTTAAGCGAAGCTATCGAACTTTCTCAAGCCACGGGAAAGCTAAAATGTAGCTCAGATGACGAGTATGAATCCGCTAAAAAGCGATTCAAAGATGCCCGTAAGAGAGCAACCGATGCTTTCTCCACTGAAACATTAGTTCTCAAAGATAGGATCTTCGCCGCAAAGCTACGAATAGTGTCCGAGATGCTGGAACGTCTTGATCGTCCTGAAATCGCAATAACAGGATGTCTGTCATTTTTGAAAAAGTTCCATAGCTTACCCGCAATCCAAGAGATATTCTCGGTGTACTTCAACGGAGGAATAAAGTCGATGTTGAATAAGAGCGAACGAGTCGAGAACGTGAAATCAGTAATGCTGATTAATTACATGTTATTTGAATATGCGTCGAAATTCAGTAGCAAGTGTTGGTTTGAGTTGCTCGTCAGCATGCCAACAATCCAACTTCCCGATCGCGGTTTTTCCCCAATAGCAGATTGGCAGGAAGTTGCGACAAAAAAGTCCATGGGGAAAGAACTGACCCGATATCCTGGTGGACGGATACTAGTTGATGAAGAAATTTATCCGTTTGTATGTGCTGTGAACGGTCATGGCGACGTTATTACCCTTCGTTATCGCTATGTTGACGAGATACAGGTTATTTCTTCCAAGACAGGTGAATGCAAGATGGTTAAATTACCAGACCCCAGAGAAGGTAAAGTTATCTTGCAATATATTCAAGGACTCGCTGTTGATAACAATAACAATATTTACGTTGTTGCACTGCTTAAAACACGTACGGAAAACGGCGATGTGACAAATTTCGTGTTGCATGTATTAGACGAGAACTACCACGCAAAACACGACTCATGCAGCTTGGATTTTATCCAGGCAAATCTTACTATTTTTTGTTTTGTGAACATCGCTATAAACAAAAGCAATAATATCATCATGATCAAAGACGAAGATCCCCACGTGTATATATGTGACAACACTGGGAAGTTGCAACACAAGTCTGAACATGACTCAAGTCGGCTACCCAGCTTGGGTATTTCCGAGCAGGGTAAAATCGTCACATCATCAGCCAATCGCAAGGCTATGGTCACATTCTCCGAGAAAAGAAATCTGAAGTCGACAGTACAACTACCAGAAGGTCACGAGATCTATGGAGTAGCGTATCACTACGTCATTCGTAAAATAATCGTTTTAACCTATGTCGAGAAAGACAATTCCTACTTCCTGCTGTGCTACACTGAAGCAGGCGATCTGGAAATTTTGACGTTCTTCTGCAAGAGAATTGACAAGGAACGTATCAAAATCACGTCCCATCCAAGTGGTCCAGTTGCTGTTGTTAGGAAGAAAAGCGTCACCTTTATTTAAGGAAACTGTCTACGTTCTACGTTCTACGTGAACAAAACTTCTTCGAGAAACTTACATGACACACCTAAGTAATAATTCTAAACTTATTAACTATAATATATGCTAATTGTAAATTGCCGACATATGCCTGTATTCTGAAAGCTCATTCACACTCAAAGAGTGGAGGTTCAATCTGAGCTTCCCTTAAGTGTCAATGCTGTTTTTGAATAGCTGGAAGGTTAGTAGTCACATAGTAAGGTATGACACTAACCATCCAGCTATTCAAAACCTGCATTGACACTCAAGGGAAGCTCAGATTGAACCTCCACTCTTTGAGTTTGAGTGAGCTTTTAAAATACAGGCGATAAACATTATGCTTTTGCTTAACATATGTCAACGTTGATTATTATGTACTGAAGTTTATGCAATTCATCGTACATAAAAGCATTCAAAATACTCTACCTTATCTTCGTATTCTCGAATGATAGCAGCTTTGAGACGACCCATCTCGTTGTGTTCCCCATGAACCAATACCTGAAAATCAATAAACTCATTAGGATTACATATGATAGTTTTGTTTGTGGGAAACACCACGTAAATTTATTACTGCAAAGCTTTCGATCCGTAAGCCCGGATCTTCATCAGTGCTAACCTTTACTGATGAAGATCCGGGCTTACGGATCGAAAGCTTTGCAGTAATAATTTTACGTGGTGTTTCCACAAACAAAACTATTATACGACTACAAGTGTTTTGGATACGACTAGAATAGATGCCGTCTCATTAGTATTCCTTATACAAAGAATAATAATTATAGGATGGACTCTTATATAAAGAATACAAATGAAGGAGTGTTTTATCAGGTTTAAAGCCTCTTCACGTGACATATTATGGTTGACATGATTTGCCAATAAGCTTATGAATTATGAATGATGTTTGAAATACATTTATTTAGACCTAAGCAGGAACAGCTGCGAAAAATGCAACTTCACGGTCCCTAACAGGAATCCAACCTGCAGCCCTGCGGTTCTGGTGCATTGAACTAAAAATAACTGGAACGCTACGTTCAGTAAACTGCGAATGCAAATTTTGAAGCCAAAATTTGACTCCCATGAAGCCAAATGAAGCCAGTTTTGACTCCCAGACACGCACTTCCACGCGTGTTTCTACTGCGCGATTTACTCGCGAGACAATACAGGGGGCGCTCGAAGCATGCCGTTTTGAACGTTTTCATGGCAAGATGCGAATCGAAAGGGAAACAGGCCTTTTCAGTTTAAAACGGGCCTTTTCAAGCCTGTGTACGAGCTTGTATAATTTAGCTTCAAACTTCCGCTTGAACGTAGCGTTCCAGTTATTTTTGGTTCAATGTTCTGGTGCTTAGGGCGGTTCGATTCCTGTCAGGGACTTTAAAGTTGCATTTTTCGCATCTGTTCTTGGTAATAAATGTATATAAATTTCTACTCGATAATTTCCTTCTACAATGTCCTTCAACTCTTTTCACATGAGTCCGTAGTGAGAATCGAACCCACAATCTCAGAGGTGAAGGTCTCTTGCTTGGCGACTGCGCCACTGAAGTGCTATAGGGACATGGAAAAATTATAGGGGAAGGCAAAGCAATCTTGGAGGAGAGGGGGGGGGGGGGTTCCCACCTCCCTCTAAAATCAGGCCATGCTGAAAGTGAAAAAGAAATGCAAATTCGTAAAACATGAGATATGGACTTTCATGCCTGAATAAATATTTATATAATCTGCAAAAAATCTTACAATATGTGGTGGTTCCAAAATCCTGATAAACTCGCTGGTTTGTTCGTAATCAGTATGCGCAGAGAATGATATGTAATCTGAAAACAAAATGTTATTTAAAAATCATGATATGGAAATTATCATCTAATTCGATATTAGCATAATACCCGGCAAGTGGACATCCTTGCACTAGTCACTTCCGGACAAAAACAAAGTGGCTTCCCGTTTCATTCCGGTTCAGGGCTCAAATTTTATAGCGGCAATTGCCCTAGAGGGAGAACAAAATGCCGTGGATCATTGCGGCAACGACGGCAATTTTTTGCCGTATAGTATAATTTTTGTACTATTCACTGTGCATTACTATTTTGACACTTGAATTCAGATGTTAATCAAATCATGCCTAAACTACAATTTTAGTCCGAGTTTTCTTTGAAAAAAAAAACACTAAAGAAATACGTAAACATTTTCCTAGCTTGTCTACAATCCAAATAACAATAAAATTGAATTTTTATTACAGTAATTTGAAAAAATGCCGTGGAAATTGCCAAAATTGCCGTAGACAGCTGTTACGTTCTACGGCAATTTTTAACGCCATTGCCGTCGATTGATTTCAGGGAAATTCGAGGCCTGTTCCGGTTACAAGCGAGCAAATTTGTGTACTAAACGAAGCTGTGGTTTCGCGATGAGCGGGAATAAAGCAAAAGATACGAGAACCTCTGGCAACCAGGTATGGTTTCGCCAAACACAAAGAAAAACACAAAGTTTTGTTTAACAGTTTAGGCCAAAAAAAGATGTGGGTTTCAGGTTTCCCGACCCTACCTAGCTTTTGGACGTCGAAATCCCGACCCTAAACTTTTTTATTGGATCATGCTTGTAAGTGTTTCCACTTAGAGAAAAAAGTTTGTGGAAAATTGAAATTTGAGGCAATGTTAAAGAAATGTATCTGTGGATGTGGAAGCACTGACTAAACAAAATGGCGTCCGGTTGTTAGGAAAATTAAAAAAAAAAAATTAAAAAAAAAGTTAAAATCGACCCACTCTATCTAAGTTTTTATAAGAAGAAACCGGAAACCCACATATTTTTTTGGCCTTGCAGAGTGAACTTTATTTAAGCACGGAGGCCTGTCATCCAAATTGAGATAATCTTCCCAGGCGCCGTAAGTAACCAATGCTATTACCTATACTAATCAAGGATGAATTGGACAAGCGCTCGTCACACTTACCCACAGAACATTTCCTCGGCAGTTTTTGCCCAGACATAGTTGGAACTTCTTCTGGTTCTGTCATTAGAGTCTAAAGTAAAAATTTATTATTACACATAAAATAGATGATTCTGGCTATAAACTAAACTTTGATCCAGGCTATAAACTAAATATATAACTAAATATCCTGGCTATAAACTAAACTTTGATCAGCAACATGGTACCTTACTTCCCGTCACCCCCTGCGCGCATAAATTAAAAGCTGGAATTGCCTATTGTGTTGCCGCGCAAGATCATGATACACGTGTGATTTCTTTTCTTGCGCCGCCAACGCGATGAAATTTGACGCGTTGCGTTGCCGGCGCAAAGAACAAACGCTTTAACTCACTTTAGCCAAGGTTCCCTCGACACAGTAACCTGCAATGATCACGCCATTGCGACGATCAGCACACCACAGCTCAAACAGTTCACGTGATAAACCACTCTAGAAAAACAACGAATATAAAATAATTTACAAAAACTTGCAGGGCCTTTCTTAAGGATTCGTCAATAAGGGGGGGGGG